CCCCAAAACCCCAAAACCCCAAAACCCCAAAACCCCGAAGCATCTAAATTTGGTTGAACCTGTAAATTATGCAGTTTATTCAATTTTGCGAATTTTAGTTCTGACTTTGTGGGACAGGGTATGGAGGCATGATTATAGGGCATGAGCTAGATGGGTTAGAGAGGGAGGATACGAGGCAGAGTCTTTGTAGAGCCACATTGTGGACCTTGGCTTCTTTGGATCAGGGATTTTGACGATTACTTGGTTGGATTTGGTGGATATGAATTCATCTGTAGTTGGGTGAAAGAGGATTTACCGATTTTTGAATGGAGCTCACTGGTGTGGCTCACTCTGCATTGGAGTTCAAGGTATCTGAGGGACTGTACTGATTGCAGGCTGTCCAGAATCTGGAAACCGTATACTTCTTTTCTGAAATTTATGTAAAGTTCTAACAAAGTTTTACTCTCTTTTATCTTCTCAAGGAGATAATCTTCACAGTCTTCGGGTAAGAAACACAGATTAATTCTCAGAGTAGTAAGTCTTTTACAGAAGACAGCATCAATAACTTGTTGGAATTCTTCAAATACCGTTCCAGGAGGTCTGTTGTAAGTAATCTCAATAGAACAAGTTCTATCAAGGTTGTCAATCTCAGAGATGAAATCAGGAATCTTAAATTTCATTCTACTGAGAATATACTCAACATGAATACTATTAGTACCAGTTTCTGACTCTGTAAAGAGGAAATCTGATTTATGTTCCTCTGTAGATAAATCTCTATGAGTTCCCTATGAAATAAGAACAAAACTACCCTGCATTTAATATGTCTTTGAACTTGGATCCCAGGTAAAGCAATCGGTGGGAGTGCTGTGCTGCTCAGGCACAGTGCAATATAAGAAGAACCAGCATCTTTTACTATATCTTCTTTGTTATTGGCTGCTAAATACCTGGAAGGTCTCTTCTCTGGGTTTTAGGGATAATCTTGAATCCAGAAATCTTGAACTCCTACATGTTTTCAATCAATATGCTTACTGAGAAGTCATTGAAGTAGACATATTTGTCTTTCTGGAAATATGAGTCATCTTTGAACTCAATGTATAAATTTTCTCACTCGATTTGCATATCTTGGTTAATTGTGAAGATAACTTTGGATATCTCTAAGCATGTGTACCTCATGCTTCAGTTGATTAATCCCTCTGCCTTGTCTCTATTGAGGGTTATCAACAAATTTTTGAGATTTTAGTTACGCTTTGTAGTTGAATTGGATTCTATGGGTTAGTTTTAGAGCTTACGTTTGTATATGACTGGATCTATCTGCCTCTAGCAAGAATTTTAAATATTCTATCTTGAGCACTTGCGTATTAATCTGAAGAGTTTCTAAATTTGGAAAGATTTCGATAATTTCAGAAAATCTGTTGAAATCGTTTTGAACTAAATCATTCTCGGTAGAATCGTCCTCATATGAAGTACTTGAGTGGAATACGACTTTGTGACAGCCCTCTCTAAATTTAAGAGGCTTGACTAAATTGGTAATAATATTTTTATCTTCAGAGCCTAGATTTAGTACATGAGTACTGACTTCAAAAAAAATGGTGAGAGTATAATTGTATCCAATCAGGAATCAGGATATTGAGCTGCTCTAGATTATAACCACATTTAAATACTGTGATATCTGTAATACTCCGAGTCTCTTCACTATAAATAGTTATTACTTGGGTTCCAGCTGAAAGAAACTGGTAAATATACTACAAACTCATCAATTACCATTTATTTTGCCTATCTTTGAACCCTGCGTATAAGAATGATCTGAAGGAAGGTATTCTATTATCTTATCTACAAATAAAAGTTTATTAATATATTAAGTATTTAAAACACCAATTTTCCTTCAGGACAGGCCTTCAATATTTCAAAGGCTCTAAAACCCATCTCCTAACCCTAACTCCACAATATTCCTACCTTTTCCAAGCCCGTTCTATAAATATGACTAAAATCTTACAAATCTCAATCTTCTAGTTTGAATTATGCCTAGGTCTAAAACCATAACTCTACCAGACCCACCGCTTCCTAGAACATGAAGAGCTTCTATAAATTTGTTATATATATCAATGTCCCATGAATATTCTCCAAGCCTATAGGATTACTCATTGTTTTACTTTATAGCAGAGAACATTGATGAATGCGTGATTGTTATGTTTTCGAGCAAGTTTGTGAAGAGAGCCATTTCCTTATTTGTACTGAGCAGAAGTTTCCATCTGAAGGAGGCGTACCTAGATTATGAGAAGGAAGGAATTGGAGAGGTTGGGGAAGGAGGGGTTGTGGGAGAGTGTTTGTGAGAGTTTTGGATGAGTTATGGGAAATTTGGGGGTTTTTGGGTAGGATTTTGATGAAATTTTTTAATTAATAGAGAAGCTTTTTTTACTTTTAATAGTGTTCTTTGTACATGGAGGAATGAAATGGAAAGGTATATTAACTGTCTATGTTATACTTTAGAGCTACGGTCCTAATGATATTTAGATGATGCTTCTATAAAATAAAGACTCTAATAGACCAGTATTGAATAATGATTTGTCAGAAAAGGGTTGGATAAGTGAATGTTAAATCAAACTAGATACGAAAGATATTATAAGAAATGGATAGCTTACCTTTGTGCTTTCATCAAGAACATGTACTGTTTTTCATTGAAACTGCTGGTAAATTCAGCTTCTCTAAAGTATCTATGATCTTTAAAGATCACGTTTAGGAAGGCTTTGTGGTTCTCCTCCCATAGACTTCTTGTTTCTCTAATTAAGCTCCTCATCATCCATGCTGCTTGGTCAACCCACCCATAATAACTCAAAATATGGTTCAAAAAGTTGAGCTTAGTCAACAACTGTTCGCTCCCTTTTCCTCTTCTCTCGCTTATCTTCCCTCTAAAACTTATTTTAAAAGGCGTACGCTCCAGTACTCTCTGTCTGCGACTCCATTATTTATTTTTATTAATTTCACTGAGTTTAAACCTTTTAGGGGTTTTGGGGTTTTGGGGTTTTGGGG